AGGCAGTTATGCTGCTACTATTCACTGCATACATACTGAGCAAGTCTTCAAGCAATACATGAATATGATTTTGTCTGACCCCATACATATGCATCTTTACTACAAAAAGCAGTTTTTCCTCAATAAAAGTTGTATACATGGGACCAACGTTCATTTCTTCTAGCTGTGAATTGTACCAATTTTATATCAACAATCATGGGTTAAACACATCAATACATGTAATAGAGCTTTAACAGTAAAAAAGTAAGAAAGTTAAATACTGCAACAGCTTAGATATATACCATATTTGAATGACAGTACATAAAGCCTATTGACCTAGCTAATGACAGTTGCCAAAATACAACATACAGAAGCAACGCTAACAGCCAGTACTTGTCTAAGCATTTGAGTTCCCCTTTTCCCTTCAAATAAAGAAGGCTTGCACACATTTTGGATGTGAACTTAGATATCATTAACCTCACAGCAACATTGATCCTGATATTTAAGGTTGGAAAAGAAACAGATCAAAGCTGCAGGCCACTAGGTACATACAGCATTTGTGAGTCTGAGGAGCCAATGTTTACTGCAGCACAGGTTCACTGTTCAAACTAAGTGTACACTATGTAACAGTAACATTAATCGGCAATATTTATATTTAGTAGAAAAGGTCTAATTACTCAATTAGCCAAAATAAGCCAGGCTTTATAAGTGTTGATTTAATTATCTATGAAGAAGGCTAGGGAGGTATTTTAACTGAAACACCTTGTAAAGTGAGATATGCTGACCTGTCATTGCTCTCTAGAACACAGGGATCGAGTTCCACATGTTCTTTCTGTCATCAAGGGCGGGTACTTCAGCCAGCATTGGAGTTTTTAAACCTAAAGGTACGCTAAAATAAATCTGTATACAATGCAACATACCTAAAATAGATGCAATGATGACAAATAAATTAGTTGTCAGTCCCTACTTTTTACAGTACAAGCCCAACAACTTTAGGCACACAAGTTATAAACAATCTTTTAAGTCTGAATTCAACCATTACAAGCCAGAGAGACCCACTGCAGAGATTGCTCTAACAGCATTCTGGACTGTAACAACATGCATATACCAGCTGTCCAGAAATAGAGCTGCTAATATAGAAGCTTCTAGAAAAAGCCATTAAACATACACATGCATGCCAGTTAGTTTCCTAACTAAAACACTATTTACAAGCCATACTTCAATTTTTTTTGTTATTTGGAGTTTTTAACCCAACTTAAAATATGAGTTCAAGTGCACAACATCCAACATGTGACTATTTGAAATAGCCAAAGTGAAAATGAGTGCAAATTACAAAGCCACAAAAAGGTTAGCAATGATTTCCTCATCTCTTCAGGTAAAAATTTGTTTACCAAGTAACACCGAGTCCATGAAGGACACAACCTCTAGGAAAGCCAAACACAGTCTCGACCAAGAGCACCAACTTTTTGAAAAGTCTGAAGTTTCTTCATACTGAAAACTGAAGTCCTCCACAAAGTTATCTGGTATCTTACTGGATGTTGTAATGTACTATTGCCCTACAAGTTGTGCAGAAACCCACAGCCAAGAAACTATTAATGCACAAGAAGTTTAGAAGTTACCGTGAATAAGATATGATTAAGCTGTAACAGAATCTCAGGTATTGATTATGGCTTAGACCTGCATTGAAAGTCAACATTTAGACAAATATCCTTAGGTGAATGACATTGTCTATACGAAAGTGAGACAACTGTTTTACACTGAAGACTTAGTCGATTAAAGTGACCTTCTGCTTAGAAGAAACCATGGACAATATATTCACAAACAACCATATCTACTTTGCAAGAATTAGCCCTGTCAGAATTCAACAATACTCCTTTTTACTCATCTTTTCTCAAAGATACGTCAATATTTACAGATATTTTTAAACAGGTTTTGTTTCTTGAACAGCCAGATCTTTGATAGTTAATTGTTTATCCTCCTTCCCTCCCCCATCCAAGTCTGCCAAACTCAAGGTATTGTTCTAGCAGCATTCATGAAATCAATAGTGCAAAGTTATTACAAAATCCTCTTCTCTCAAGCTGTGACAGTCTCTTCAAGTTTGTGTTACGTCAATAGCACTTCCCATGTATTTAGACCTCTGGGGGAAGGCAGGAACAATAGTGAACAACCAATTTGTTTGCTGAGGGGTTTTTTTGGGTTTTACTGTTGGTTGGTTGTTTTTTATTTGCTGCTCATACTGGCCATTGTTACAACTTTGGTAACTAGTTCACTACATTAAATTCACAGTTCCTCATTTTGACATGCACCAATAACATGCGAGTTGAACTGCACCACAATAATTGTAATGTCATCTCTATACATTCGAGCCAGCTCTTCTGGAAGACTAAGCATCTTGGACAGTCGCTCATGATCCACAGTGCCAAACTCATTGTTACCCACTGCATGACGTATCAGGTGAGTTGCTGCATTCTGATCTTCAAATACTGAAGAGATTCTTGCTCTCCTTTCTGCTAAGAGACCATGCATCTGTCCCAAAGTTACCTTATAGCCACCAACAGCTATTGGCTGCTGATGGTGAACACCAGTGAGATACTCCCCTACAATTCTAGCCACGTCTTGCCTGTGCATCGTCTCCCACAGCCCATCTGTGGCCAAAACCAGGAACTTATCCTGTGGCCGTAATTTGTGATGTATGACTTCTGGCTCAGCTGTGAGGTACGGGGGAGTGTGATAGTTTGGAGGAATAAACTTTGTATACTCATTGGCATTCAGCTGATCTGGGCCTGATTCTATTACTCTCTTCTGTAGTTCAATACTCCATTTAAACTTCACATCACCAAAAGCTCTGAAAGGCATCAGGAGACCTAGCAGACGATCTTGTTTCACAAGACTTTTCTCTTCAGACTTTGGATGCTCCGTTTTCACACGTTTCACCTCACGTTCATTTTGTGCATTGTGGTCATAGGACAGATTAACTGCAGACCAAGATCCATCTTCTTCCTGAACCCCAAGCATTGCCCTACTGTCCCCTGTGTTTGCAATGTGCAAGTCAACACCATCCACATGGGCCACACATGCAGTTGCACCAGAAAATGCTACTCGCAGTACTAGGTAGTTGAGAAAAGAATTTGGATCTCCTACTTGAGCTTCCAAAGAAATATCATTATCAAGCCTCTTAAAAGCATTAATTAAAGCTTCTTTCACATCAGTAGTCTCTCCACTGTTGAGATCAATAAGCTCCTGCCAGTAAGTTCTTAGACTACTGAAGTAAAGCTTGGAAGCCTCTTTGCTAAAATAATCATTGGGATGCTTGTGCCACTGTAAAATGGGCAACAGAGCTCTGCCACTTTCCACGGCATTTTCTATTTCAAGTAAAGTCTCATGAGGTAACAAAGAGACAGCGATGTAGTAAAACAGTCTTTCACTGACAGCTTGAGCACAAGCACAACCTGCATGGCCATCAAACACACCCAGAAGCATCCCTCTTGTCTGTAGGCAAGTCGCAGCACTCCTCCGGTCTTCTATTGGAGCATTAGCAGGCAACTGGTTGCTATCAAAGCCAAGAACAGAACTTACATTTTTACCATCAAATTCTGGGACTTTGAAACTGTATTCATTTGCCTTCAGAATGCTGTTGACCTGTGGAGGAGTGAGGTAAAATCTCTGTGGTGTAGAAGCATAATCCCTCGCGTGAATGAAGTAATTAAAGTTCTCCTTTGGCCTATAAAGTGCTGCAAATTTCTTCTGAGGTGCATCTCTGAAGTGACTGTGAGCAAAATGAGATGATAAACAACACAGATGTTTATGGTGGCAGTAACACACAGTACTGCATATTCTGCTAATCTCACAGTTACGAATCAGTGGAAACAGATGAGCTGGTGCTGGCATGGCATCAGACAACGGTAGCCTGGAGCTTCGGACTGGAATTGCTGAAAGACAAGAGAAGAACTATGCTTAGGGGGACAGCTAACAGATTTTTCACAGAACTGTGTTAAGACATTTACAGCCCCCAAAGTTACTTATTATACGGAGTTAATAGCTCCATAGATCTTGAGAAAGAAAAGGGATTAAGAGGTACTTGTTTATAGACATCTCAGGGGGCTGTAACAAAGAAGCTACACCATACTTAAGTTCAGCATAGATGTTTTAGCTCTTATACCCACTCAGATAGCAGGCAGGAAGTGAAACCACCATCCAGACAGACAATGCAGCTTCAAACAGAACTTCAGACAACAGTTAGCATGGTACACTCTACAGTATTACCACCTTCTACAAGACTTTTATGGAGATCGGTTTTCCTACTGACAGAGCCAGATGTAGCATGCAGGAAGAGAAAACTCTTCCTATAGGACTAAAGAAGAGATAAAACATCTAACAGTAAGATTCACGAAACAACTTTCAGATAACATACACCTGGGTTTAAGACAAAATGGGTTAGACAAGAAAAATTATCTACTACTTTTTCCCATATCTAAAAACTCTCATTTTTTTGTTCCTCTGAAGAAAGATTCTAAAATACTCTTCCTCGTCCCCTTTTACATACCCAGTCACAACATCAGTGTGAGGGCCTCTTAAATCCCTTATTCACCATGTCTCATTACCAGGAAGTCTTTTACAATGTCGTACTGGAGAAAACAATTCTGTAGCGGGAAAGAAGTTGAACTGTGGCCTTGTGTGAAGTACACACAGTTAAGGGGAATTCAGTTTTCTTTTTTCAACTTTTATGTTGCTTCTTAGAAAAGACCATTACACATTACCTTATACAAGTCTTACTGCTGTCATAAGTACTGGGCTATCAGCACCACCGCATCTCAGATTCAATTGTTCTGCTGAAAAACTAGATACTGCTGTGTTGTGCAAGGTGCTTCAGTCACTAAATTATTTTTTTTTTAACCAAGCAGGCATACCACTATTTCAGATGAGACACAACCCCTATGAAATATACAGTAAGCCCCAATACTCAATCTAAAGGATCATGCACAATAGGAGGAATTGCACTCTGCAATCACCCTATTCTGTAAGTTTTCCATAGCCTCTGCTACAGGATTCCAATCACTCAGCTCAGCCGCTAAGCATCTGGATATACGTGAAGCTTCAACCCATTCTCTGTGTCGATAGAGAAGGAAGCAAATCACATTATTCCCTCCAAGCTTTCTTGTTCTCCTCAAGTAACCAGGAATGGAGCCTGTTTCTCTGTGAAAAGATCCATAACTGCTGAAAGCAAAGTAGAATTCGTGTTTCTACCACTCCACTGGCTTCCTAGTATTAATGACTGATTATCAGTCTTGACTTACACTGACAAAAATTCTTGTCCATTGACCTCTCCCAGGTCTCCCACTGAGAGCTACGAACGCTGAACTGGTTGGCTTTCTGCTGTTCAGCTACCAGAAGAGCTCTGGTTGTAGTCCTGTGGACCACAGCCAGCTGTCCAGACAGTCAGCAGCAGAGCATTGGCTTGAACTTCCAGCTGCATACTAAATTTACATTAACCATTTTCCTCCCAGAAGGTCTACTTCTCCAGCCCAGGCTTCACATGCATACAACATGACAGAAGTGAACTGCAGCTCCAAATATAGATTTTAAAAATCTACTCACTGCGCTCTAATTATAAGGGAGCTACTTTGGTAACAGTTATGTACATTTCTTCACACGACATTTAAAAGCAACAGTTTTGCTTACAGAATGGGAACCTCAGAGTTCTACAGATGTGCCCAGAGCAGCACACCTTGGTTTCAGTGCTGGTCTCCCATTAGACTCTGATCACAGATTTCTCCTCAGGCATTTGTGTTCAGTGCTGACCCATACGTGGTGCCACAACAACTGTTCTGACAGTTTTGCTGTTAATCCATGATGAAGCAAAAATACAAATGTACTGCTGTTATAGCTGCTCTGCAGTGCCAGCAGAGGATATTTTGGTGATTTCTAATCATTAGTTTATCAATTATTACATGAAATCCAAGAGGAAGTAGTAAGAAGTTAGCCTCAAATTTTCCACAGCCTGTATCATTTACAGTTTCACATACCAGATTTAATAAATCCACGCTGATTAAGTAAAAGAGAAGTTCCAAGTTTGCCAGTCTGAAGTGAAATTATTTTAAGTCTCTCCCATTTACCCCCACAACATGGATGTCCCAAATATAACCAGACTCCAGTTAGCCCTTAAACAATTACTTTAAGATCTCAAGTTCGTTATGCGTTATGGTTGATCAAGAGATAGCAGAGACAGAAAGGAGATTAAGTAGAAATTTTACAATTCAACCAAGATTTGTCAAGAGATTAGAATCAATCCAGTATTAAACACCCCTTCAAGCCCAGAACAGTGTACAAAAGCTACTTTTCAGGTTCCAAATATAACACGGCCCATAACAAGTCAGACGGTCAATGTATGTGGTTTGTAGCACTACACTGATAAAATTAAGAAAATATTAGCCCTTCCTTTAATAAAGGCTTGTTATAACTGATGCTGCACAGACAGGTTCCTCCAAAACACCTGCCTTAACTGTGCCAGAGACACCCATGGCTTCAGATAAAACCACTTACCCCACCCAGGTGCCCTTCAGACACTTGAAAGACCTGAATGAATTAGCTTGTTGAAGAGGACGGGGCAGAGGGAGGGAGAGGGGAACAAGAAACATTCAACACAAGCAGAACCGTTAATCCTTCCCTCCGGCCAGATCTCAGCCCTCGGACACAGCCCAGCCTGGCAGTGCCTTCCCCGGGTCCCATCCGACCCCCGAGCCCGGCGCTCCAGCAGGTACCGGTGCGAGATACATACCGATCCGCCTGGGCCCAGGACACACACACATTCTCCTGTCACAACAAGAAGTCGCCAACATCCACAAAGCAGAAGCCCAGGGGGCGGGGGAGAAGCAAGGCAGAGAGTTTGTTAGAGAAGACGGAGAGCTCCGACACGGATATGGGACGACAGAGAGGAGACACGCACACACGCACGCCGCTCGTCTGCGGGCGCCCGCA